GGTTAGCTCTCTAACCTGGTGAGAATGGGTTGCTCGGCCCATTCTCACCATGTGACACCCTGGTCACTGTAGAGGGTCATCACCAACAAGAAGGCCCTCATCAGATGTATTCCCTGGACCCTGAACTTCCCAGCCTCATAAATTGTAAGAAATAAATTCCATTCCTTTATAAATTACCCAGTTTCAGATATGCTGTTATAAGCAACAGAAATGTACTAATACATTTCCAAATTGACTTACAGATTTAATGTAATTCAATCAAAATTGCAATGGTACTATTAGAGAAATTTGACAAGTCAAATTTAAAATTTATATTAGAAAGCAGAATTCCAATAATGGTCCAGATATTCTTGAAGAATAAGATAACAGAAATTTTTTTCCTAGGCAAGATTATTTTTAAAAACTGTAGTAATTAGAGGATGATACTAGTGTAGTGAAATCTAAATGGAGCCATGGAAGTAGACAGTAACCCCAGAAACAGTCTGAAGCTGGAGTGGGTACTAGAGGCCTTTTCCTGTACCAGGTTTAACCATTTCATTTTTTGACTGTGGGGAGGATTCTAGGGAGGGGCCTGGGTGGTGGTAGTGGTAGGGTTGAGGGTAGTAAGGAGGCTCTGGGTGGTAACTATTTACTAACAGTATAGAAATTGTTTGGTGTTTTAACAACAGGTACAGAACCATACAGTTGTACACTGGTTGCAATTAGTCATGGACACTTGATACATGACAGAAGTCACTTTAGATCATTGGAAAAAGATGGACTATTCAATAACAAGTATAACAGGTATATATATATATATACACATATATACGTATGTATATATATAACAGGTATATAAAAATTATACATATGGGAAATAGGTATATGAGGATACTTCACAAAGTTCATGGAAAGATTCATATTACCTTTTAATTCTACTTTTCCATGAACTTTGTGAAGTACCCACATACATACATATGGTTACACATATGAGAAAAAAGGTGAAATGGATCCTTAATTTATACCATACATAGAAATCATTTTTAGATGGATTATGGTGGATTAAAAGTGAGTGGCAATACTTTTAAGATTTTTGGAATAAAATTGTGGCAGATATGTTGGCAGTCGGCTTTGGTCTGAATGTCCCCCTAGATTCATGTATTGAAACTTAATTGCCAATGTGATAGTGTTAAGAGGTCGCACCATTAGAGGAAAATTAAATCATGGGGGCAGAGACCTCATGAATGGCTTAGCAACTTTATACAAGGGCTGGAGAGAACTATCCAGACCCTTTTGTCCTTCCACTCTTCCATCATATGAGGACACAGCAACAAGATGCCATCTTGGGAGCAGAAAGCAGCCCTCACCAGGCACCAAGTCTACTGGTGCCTTGGTCTTGGACTTTCCAGCCTCCAGAGCTGTGAGAAATAAATTTTCATTGTTTATAAATTACTCAGCCTGTGGTATTTTGTTATAGCAGCAGGACTAAGACATAGTCCTATAAAGATGTGTGTCCATCTGTCATAGATTGAAACTGTTGACTGTTGCGGGGAAGAGGTTGCCCAGTTAGGGACTATATTTCCCAGCTTCCTTTGCACCTGGATGAATCCATGTGACTGAGTTCTGGTCAATGGCATGTGGACTGAAATGGTATATACCAGTGGTTCTCAAACTATCTGTGGTAATGGACAATTTCCATCCAATCTATTATGAACCGATACTTTTGTAAACTATAATAAAAATAAATTACCAGAAAAATGAAATTGAAAAAGTCATACCAAATACAAACCTATTTTTATTATTAGATCCAACAGACATAAATTTACTGTATCAAATTGCTATAACAGTTTCAAACATTTATTCCCAATTTCAGTACTATTGTGAGATGCAGAGGTAGTAAACAGTATGCAGACCAGCAGCAGTCAGTGAACCACACTTTGAGTGCACACCACTTGCAGGCCTGGCCCATAAAAATCTCATGCAATTTTCCACATTCTCTTTCTTCTCCTGTCTACAGGCTAGATGTCTGTGCATCTAGACTTTGAAAGCCAATGGCTGAAGATGGCAGTGGCTTCATAAGACTGGGTCCCCTAGTTACTGTTTGTAGTAGAACCCTCCCCACCCGATCCTGTCATTAATTGGACTTAATGTGAAAAAAATAACTTCATTTGTGTTAAGCCACTGAACATTCAAGGTTTATTAGTTATACTATAGGTATTAGCTTAACTGATAATGAAATATAGGGAAAATATTTATGACCCTAAGATACAAAAGCCCTGATTAGGAATGATTAAAAAATCGACTATGCTAAAAATAAGAATTTCTGCACATCAAAAATCACCACAAATAAGTCAAAAACTGGGAAAAGATATTTGTAATACATTAATACATATAACAAACATCAGTTTAATATCCAGAATATAAAATGTAAGCCTACAAATCAACATGAAAAAGTGAAACAACTCAATTGAAAAATGGACAAAATATATAAATATATAAACAGGAATTTCACAGTAGAGGAAGTCCGAATAGAAAATTACAATTTGAAAAGATGTACAACTGTATTAGTTTGTTTTCTGTTGCTTATAACAGAATACCTGAATCTGGGTAATTTATAATGAAAAGAAATTTATTTCTTACAGTTTTGGAGACCGAAAAGTCCAAGGATCGGGGGCACATCTGGTGAGGGCCTTTTTCTGGGTGGGATCTCTTTATACAGTCCCATGCTGACTCAGGGTGTCACATGGGGTTGTATCACAGGGTATATCATGGCAAGAGCTCTCTCATGTGCTCTTTATAAAGCCACCAGTCCACACCTATGATAACTCATTATTCCATGAGTGAATTAATCTAGTCATGAGTGTACAGTCCTCATGATCCAATCAGCTGTCAAAGGCCTCACCTTTCAAATATCATAATCTGATTTCCCACCCTCTTAACATTGTCATAGCGGGGATCAAATTTCCAACACATGAACTTTTCGGGGGCACATTTGTTTCATAGTAGCAATCACATTAATAAACAGAAAAAATAAAGAAATTAAATTTAATTGGACCTTGTATTTTTTATCTGACAACCCTGCAAATAAGGAGACATACAAAAGTGTTCAAAGTAGCGTTGTTGAAGAAATAATGGGTCCAGAATATAAAATGTAAGCCTACAAATCAACATGAAAAAGTGAAACAACTCAATTGAAAATGGACAAAATATATAAATATATAAACAGGAATTTCACAGTAGAGGAAGTATGAATAGAAAATTACAATTTGAAAAGATGTACAACTGTATTAGTTTGTTTTTTGTTGCTTATAACAGAATACCTGAATCTGGGTAATTTATAATGAAAAGAAATTTATTTCTTACAGTTTTGGAGACCGGAAAGTCCAAGGATCGGGTCACATCTGGTGAGGGCCTTTTTCTGGGTGGGAACTCTTTATACAGTCCCATGCTGACTCAGGGTGTCACATGGGGTTGTATCACAGGGTATATAATGGCAAGAGCTCTCTCATGTGCTCTTTATAAAGCCACCAGTCCACACCTATGATAACTCATTATTCCATGAGTGAATTAATCTAGTCATGAGTGTACAGTCCTCATGATCCAATCAGCTGTCAAAGGCCTCACCTTTCAAATATCATAATCTGATTTCCCACCCTCTTAACATTGTCATAGCGGGGATCAAATTTCCAACACATGAACTTTTCGGGGGCACATTTGCTTCATAGTAGCAATCACATTAATAAACAGAAAAATTAAAGAAATTAAATTTAATTGGACCTCGTATTTTTTATCTGACAACCCTGCAAATAAGGAGACATACAAAAGTGTTCAAAGTAGCATTGTTGAAGAAATAATGGATAAACTGTATATTCACACAATGAGATATTAGACAGCAGTGAAAAGAACTATAGCTATGAGTAATTACACAAATGAATCTTAGAGACACTAAGTTTAAAAAGCAATTCAAAAAATACATATTATAAATTGCAATACCACTTTCATAAAACTCAAAACTAATCACAACTAAAAAATATACTGTTTAAACATACATACACATGTGATAAACATATGCAAGAGAATGAGAAACAATTTTCAAGGCAGTTGATATAAAAGGTAAAGTAGAGGCAGAGGAATGGTTAAAGAAGGAACTCGCAGACTGATGTGAAGTTGTTGGTAATGTTCTGGTTTCTACACAGGTAGAAGGTACACAGGTGTTTGCTTAACTGCTGTGCTTCTTACCTAATACACGTCACATAAGTTTTTCTATGCGAAATATTGCATATCATTTTAAAAATAGATCAATGATCAGGAAAGCTAAGTGAGTTGATTTTCCATCTACAGACATAAAGCCCAATGCTCTTCTATTATATCTCCCCTAAAGATACCTCCCCTAAAGAATAATAGCGTGCTTTGCAATCAGAGAAATGGTCTAATGTACAAAATGCTACTCCATAGTTAGCTCCAGGGAGAAGCTAAGCGGTGAGGTACACGAAGAAAGTCAATTCAGCCAAAAAATAAAACTATACTAAGTAGGTACTTTCTGGTAAGTATTGTGGTACATTGTAACATGGGGGTGCGGGGCACTTACAAGAGCGTATGAACTAGACTAGCTCCTCTTCTCAAGAGTGGTTGCAAAACTCTGCTAGAGCTCCAAGACAGCCACACATTAAGCACCATATTATGTGGGTATAGACTATAGGCTCTCCATTACCAGCAGAATGAGTGCAGTCCATTTTCTAGTAAGCCCTCCTCTTTAGATTCTCTTTCCACGGGGGTGGGGAGGGTTGGGACTATTCTTATGTGGCTCAAAAGTTAATTTGCGTCACTCTAGGGTCACTTTAAAGGCGAGTGACAGAAAGGGTGAAGCCACTTTCCATAAGCTGCGGAAAATGCAGACCTAAAATCCTTTCTGGGCTCACGGGAGCCCTGAGATGTGAACCTCTTCAATGAAATTAAAAGGGCTGACTTGAGCACTCTAGGTAAGAGAGATCTCATTGGATAAAACAGCAGGACGCTTTCACGCAGGTGCAGCGCACCACGACCGCTAGCACGGGCCCGGATGAAGGCGGAGCTAAAGGTGCGGGGCTACGTCACGGAGCGCGTGTGCGTCACGTCGTATGGGGTGGGGATTTCGGGCATGGTTTTCTCCGCAAGCACCGCACGTGTGGAGGCCTTGGAGACATGGGGACTCCTCCGGGCCTGCAGACCGACTGCGAGGCGCTGCTCAGCCGATTCCAGGGGACGGACAGCGTACGCTTCGAGGACTTCACGGAGCTCTGGAGGAACATGAAATTCGGGACCATCTTCTGGTGGGTGTTTCTCGTCCGCTACGCGCCTCGCTCCCTGCCCGCGGGCGGCGTAGAAAGTGACGTCCTTCCGTATTGCAGCGCGTGGGAAGGGCTGACAAGCGGCGGCCTCCGAAAGCTGCCTCCCTCCCTCTCTCCTGCGCCTTCGCCTGGGCTCAGGCTACTTGCCTTCCCTGGGCGGCTTCATTGTGTTTCGGCTGCATCTTTGTGCGCCCTCCTCCTGACCCTGAGCCAGGCTACTCCCGTTGGCCCGCCTTCAGTCTTGTTCTGCAAGAAGCCCATGTTTATAAACAAAGCAAACACGCAGAGACAACCGTGCACGCCTGAATTCATTTTTCATACAACCATCAAAGTTGTTTTCCAAAATCACTCCCTTGCTTACCTCTCTTCAGTGGTCCCCATTGCCTTCGGGATAAAGCTCGCACTCTTTCCTAAGGTGTCCAGCAAGACCGTTCGTGGCTGGCCTGTGTCCATCTCTCCAGCCTCGTCTACCAGTCCCCTCCTTGCCTTCACTTGCTCTAGCATCTGTTTTTGGCTGTCTACAAGCGTTTCGTAAGCCTGGAGCTTTCCCCCAACTCCCTTTTCTTGTCCACCTTGTTCTACACTCACGTTTAGCTCAAGTGACAATTACTCAGGGAAGTCGTCTTTTTGCCATGCTAGAGTAAATAACGTGTTCATGCTTTCCCACAACGCCCCATAGCATCCTGCGCTTATTTTACCTCACCACTTACCACGTTTTATTGTAATTGTGTCCCTGAAAAGGCAGTACAGGATAGTAAGGGTACATAGATTGTGGAACTTAGCTGTCTGAATTTAAACGCAGCGTCCACTAATAACTTTGGTCAAGACATTGCTTGAGCTTCCTTATCCGTAAAACAGACACAAAGGTAATACCTGATATAGTTGTGAGGATTAAATGAGCTAGTATATCTTAAGTGCATTCTAAGTGTTCAATAAATATTCATTATTATTATTACTACTTTTTAATCCCCCCCACCCCCCACTAAATTGAGCTCTGTGAGGACAGCGACTGGATGAGTGGTATTTCCATTAGCATAGTACACATAATATTGAAAAGGCTAAATAATCAAATGAGAATTTGTGATTAAAACTTTTTGAATAAAATTAAAAGTTCTCATTTTTCCCTCCTGTCCATGTAAACTAATTATGTAGTTTTTAAATTGCAGAGGATGGAGAATGAAGAGCTGTTTATTGTTCAGTTAATGAAAGGAGAGAACCTGCTTTTTAAAAAATGGCTGTTAAATGTAATGCATTTATTGTACGTTTTTTGGCGGCCGATACAGGGATCCGAACCCTTGACCTTGGTGTTACTACCACCACTTTCCCAAATGAGCTAACCGGCCAGTTCTGCATTTATTTATAGCTTAATTTGTTTAATACATAGGATACCTCTGAAAAGCAGGTATAATTATCCTTGTTTTACAGATGAGAAAATTAAGGCTTAAGGGGGTTAAGTGATTTTCCCAAGATTACACAGCTAGTTAAGTGGTGGAGAAGATATTGGAACCTATGTCTGCCTGTTTCTAAAATCCATAATCTTTCCTTTTACCCGTTCTTGGGAATAAAAGGCATTTCAGGAAAATTTTGCTAGGATTACCACTATTTTTAGCCAATAGGGAAAACCTAAGATGAGAAAAGAAACAAGGACCACTAGAGGAATGGTGGATTTTCTTTAGAAATTGCTTTCGTTATCAATACTTTAGTAGGCATTTTGCATTCTTTTAGTGTGCTTATTATTTGAAGAGCAGAGGTGTCCTGCCCACCCCCCCTTCATTGTAATCAGGTATAGTAGAACCCCAATTTACTGGCAACAGAGCTAATTTCTTTATTGTTTTATGCTGTTGTTTTTAAATGAAAAGTTCTGTATGTTTATGTTTGTATAGTTATCAATCACTTGTATCTGTTAAATAATGCACTGTGAGACCTTTATTTTAGCTAAGGTTTTACTTAAAAATAGGCATTTCTTATCTACTAATTTCAGGACTTACATATAGAAAACTGTCCGTATTATGCACAAATTGTGCCTTCATTGTTTTATCCAAAGTTGTAAGAAAGAGGGCTGGCCAGTTAGCTCAGTTGGTTAGAGCATGGTGCTGATAAGGTCCATGTCCAGGGTTTGATCCTT